TCGCCCGATCGGATAGAGTTTGTGATCATGGCCACCCCGGTCCTGTCATCAAGGCCCTGAACCTTGACTGACTCGGCCCTCCACCTCGCTAGGAAGGTCGACAATGATTCCTTCTTCCCATGTTTTAGGCCGAACAGGTGGCTGAAGTTTTTCTTGACGTCTCGGGAGCTCGCGAACCTCAAGAGAAAGCGCTGAACCAACTCACGGAAATTCGTGATACTCCCGTCGGGTAGAGAGTCATACCATTCACGAGCCGGGCCATCCAAAGTGGCGGAGAAACCGTGGCATCGGATTGCGTCCTCATACCCATCATGACCATGTAGGAAAGGTACCGAGATACATGATGCTGGGGGTCAGAAGCGCCCTTGTATGCTTCAATGGCGCAGGGCTTGTAGCCCCTCGGCAACGGCGCATCCATGACCGCCCGGGTGAAGGGTTCGGGTATCCGGAGGTCGGCCGTGTAAGGCTCCCCCCCGACGACCCTCCTTCTCAACTCGTCAAGGCGCTGTCGTAGATCTTCCACCTCGGCCGGTGGTGGGTTCCCTCGGACAGCTCCAGCGCGGGGCTGGGCATGTCCGGCGGCACCTCCAAGTCGTCCGTGCACGTGAGGTCGGGGCCCCACGTTTTGCCTCTCCGTGGAGCCAGTCCGACTGCTCGCCCGGTGAGAGTGGCGAGAGGGCTCGCCTCCTTCCATCTGCGTTGGGCGCCCCTGCTGGGCGCCCCTCCCCGTCTGCCGATGGGGTCGGCTAGGCTGCTGAGAGACTTCTTCCCTCCGCCGATGGGAGACTTCTTCCCCCCTGTTTTGGTTGGATCCAGAGCGTCGCTCATCACGCCGCCTGGAGGACACCTCCACATCCGCTGGCGTCTGTTGACGGGCAGGCTCATCCACATTTCCGCCAGACACCATCTGTTGGAAATTTTGAGCCAAGGTCCCCAGAACCCGAGTTGCCTCCTGCAGGGCTTCCACCCCGGCATTGAGTCGAGTCGGGTCCATGCGCGGAGCATGACATCGGCCTCCCCCCGCCGGCTGCGGACCGAGCGCTCACCTTGAGTGTGGTTGAGCGTCGCCCTTAGGTCGTCGTGGCCTGATAATTGGTTCCGAAGGTCGCCTTGGCGCGCCGCCCTCCTGCCCTGTGCATGGTTGTCGAGTGCACGCTGGCGGCCAGACCGGGCGGACTCCTCGGTGTGGACTGAGACATGGTCACGTCGAGACGAGATTCCGGCCATCTTCCTGTGTGATTCATACTCAAGTTATGTGAGAGACAATAGAGGCTCTCAATGAAAGCACCAATGTTGGTCCAAAATAGGACGCTCGTAGGCTTTTAGGAAAGCTACGTACGACACTCAAGCAAGAATTAGGAAAGTACGAATATGGAAAGTTAGCCAGAAATAGCATATCTGTATTTGAAATTCGAATTGCCTTTTATAGGCGATTACAAATGGTAACTGCCGAACATAATAATGACTAAATTAATTACAACATTAATACGGAATTAAACACATAATTAAGTCGCGCATTGATTGTTGGCCGTTACTCTTCCTGGCTGGCAGGCTGGACGCTTGAGCTCCCTCCTGCTGGACTGGACGGTGGGCTTCCCGCTAGGCTGGAGGAAGGCTTCTGACCGGACTGGAGGCAGGCTCCCGGGTAGGCTGGACCGCAGGCTCCCAGTTGGGCTGGACCGCAGGCTCCCAGCTGGGCTGGAAGGTAGGCTCCCCACTGGGCTGGAAGGCAGGCTCCCCACTGGGCTGGAAGGCAGGCTCCCCACTGGGATGGAAGGCAGGCTCCCCACTGGGCTGGAAGGCAGGCTCCCGGGTAGGCTGGACCACAGGCTCCCAGTTGGGCTGGACCGCAGGCTCCCAGCTGGGCTGGTCGGCAGGCTTCCGGTTGGGCCGGTAGGCAGGCTTCCTGCTGGGCTGGAAGGTAGGCTGCTGAGTGGGCTGGTAGGCAGGCTCCCTGCTAGGCTGGACCGCAGGCTCCCAGCTGGGCTGGAAGGCAGGCTCCCCACTGGGCTGGAAGGCAGGCTCCCCGTTGGGCTGGTCGACAGGCTCTCTTGGGCTTCCGCTCCTTGATTGCCCTGATTGGTTGGGCCGACTCGAGCTCTAGGTTGCTGGGCTTGGGCCCGCTGGTCCAAGTTCGGGGCCTGGGCCGATTAGGCTCTGGGCCTGGTCCCATAACCCCATCATCGAGTATTAGTGAGTTCATATTTTATATTTTGTTTATACACTTTGATTCTGCGTCATTCCTGATATATCCAAAGTTCATGTTGGGCTTTCGGATCTACGGGATTTACACTCAACATGGTTTTTAAGAAAAGTGAAATTATGTGGTTGATAATAAGTTGATAAAGTGAGAATAAAGCAAGAATGGATTAGAGTCACACAAATGTTACCAAATATAGTCTGAGACAATAATAGGGGGATATCCAAAAATGAAAAAATGGGACAAGTATAAGGGGCAGAGGGAGCAATCTTTAATTACACTTGGAAGTTGGCATGCATAATATTTTCATTTTACATCCCGTGCAACGCACAGGTGAAATACTAGTACTTACATTAACTTGGTTACTTATTTACTCCCTCTGTCCCCTTAACTTTTTTGTGTTTTATTTTTTTCATCCCTCTTACTACGCTTGTCTTAAGTGATATTTGGGTGGTTAACATTCATTCTTATTTTATTTTTACTTTATCAATTCAATATCAACCACACAGTTCTACTTTTCTTAAAAACCTCACCACACTCTCTTGCCCCAATCTTAGTGGGACAAAGAGAGTATTTTATAAAATTTTCTGCTTACGTTCAATTCCTATTTATTATGACTGATAGTAGATCTTTCCTCATGTGAAAATTACAATAAAAAAATATTTTGCAAAATATCATACCTGAATGGGAGAAAATTGTGGTTCAATTCATATATAGATGTCTACATTCTCTAATGGGAGAAAATTGTGGTTCATATTCTTGGTTCTCGAGTAAGGAAACTAGAAACTAATAATCCACTTTTTATCGATCTTTCTAAAATAATCCAATATATCCGTGATCTCATAATAATCACACATTTACATTTCATTTTCTTTTATTGTCTATGACGGGTTGATGACTTGCTATTCCAATTTTTTTAACTTTATTTGCAAATTTCTAAACCATACTATGTATATGAAACAAGAAGAGAGAAAAATTAAAAGAAGGTTCATATTATATGTAGAAGGAATGAAAGAGAGAGGGTAAGTAAAAAAAATTCGGGGAAAGTTTATAATGGGTCTACTCAAAGAGTAACAATAGCATAATTGTTTGAGTACTATAAGGCTCATTGACTCATTATTGTAGGACTTAGCTTATACTAGGTGATGGATTATTGGGGTATCTATAATAAATGGAGAGATTGAACTAAAGAAATAGAGACGATAATGAATAGTAGAAATTGTATTGTGTATGTGTTAGGAATTAGGGTTTACAAGCTCCTAAGGGAGTATATATAAAAAAATCCGGGTCTGGGTCTCTAATATGGGCCCGATAGATCGAGTTATATAAATGAACTGATAATATAAATGAGTTTCCACCCCACTTTATTGTCGAAATTAGACTTTGCACCCCATTTTTGAAATTCTTAGTATTTGCACTCTAACCCCGTATGAAAAGACAAGAATGCCCCTCGATTAGAAATATGTTGAAGGCCAACAATATTGTTAACTGAGGGGCATTTTAGTCTTTTCATACGGGGTTGGGGTGCAAATACTAAAAATTTCAAAAATGGGGTGCAAAGTCTAATTTCAACAATAAAGTGGGGTGCAAACTCAAAATATCCCTAATATAAAAGGTTAATCTAGAACAACTGAATAATAATAAAATGTTATCTACTGAGTGTACGTGGTCCGCTGTCTGGGCCAAATAGTCACGAGACCGGGGTCTGAGTCCACATACTCTATCACTTGGTAACATTATTGTATTTTCTCTTAACTCTGTTGACATCTTAATATAAAATACTTTCCATGTATAAAAATAAGATAAAATTAAACAAAAAATTGTACTTGGAGATATTAAATTTTCTTATGAAATAATGATAAATATACAATAAAAATAAAAATATTGAATAAATAGGGTCGTCTAATTAATTTGGAGGCTCCGGTTCAAAATGTAAAATTGGGGCTCCACATTAATATAAAAAATTAAAAAAAATCTCAATTTAAATACTTATATTCAAATCAATTGAATATTGATTAAAAGAGAAGAGAACTAGAAGAGTAAAAAGACCAATGAAAAAAATGATGGATCTATATATTTCTTCTTTAGTAAGAATATTAATATATTCTTACTTATTAGTATTAATATATAATATTACTACATAATATTAATAAATTTTTAAAAAATTGGGACCCCGTAGATTCGGGAGACCCGTTCTGAATAACCTATTAAACCCCTAAAAAATGAACCCATGAATAAAGTGTGACTTTCTATAGAGCGAGACATGGAGTATTTTTTAGTGACTATTAGGGAGTACTCCGTATTATATTTATAAATTTATTTCATGTGGCAATATTGGTACTCGCCTACTCGTTATGCAACTTTTTTATGGAAATTTAACATTAGTTAATTTGAGTAAAAGAGAAAAACTCTTTTTCTTATTTTAATGGATTTCCGTAATCATCTTTTTTACTCCCTCCGCTCCGTTGGAATGTTCCTGCTTTACTTTTTTGGATGTCTCGTTGGAAAGTTCTCATTTTCCTAAATGGAAAGTTATCCTACATCAAAACAGGGTCAAACAGTGCAAAATACTGTCTAACAATGTCGAAACAGTGCCAAACAGTGTCGAAACAGTGTTAAACAGTAAAATTTACCCCTTGATAAATTTATTTTTTTAATATGCGTGTATTTCAAACCGGGATGGAGGGAGTATCTGAAGTACTCCGCATCAATTTTTACTTTTCTTTTATCTTTTTTTGTTTTGTTTTTATCTTTTTATCTTTTTATTTAACGTGTCTAAATTCTTTTGGCACAAGGTTTAAAGAATTTTCAATGAAATAACGGCAAAGCATCTTTCTTTCCGATGTACCAAATAGAAGACGGGGAAAGGAAAGTCGGAGCTGAGATCCTCCGGGAAACCAACACCCAGAATCTCCGGTAAGAAAATGTGGGAATCAATCTGCCTAACCGTAGCGGCCACCGCTGGCAACAACATCGGCAAAGTCCTCCAGAAGAAGGGCACCCTCATTCTCCCCCCTCTCTCTTTAAAGCTCAAGGTCTCTCTCTCTATGTTCTATTCCTGTTATTTGATCATACATATCTGACGCTAATGAATCCGGGCCTTTCTCCTGCACATATGCGTACCCGTTCTTGCATGTTTCCTGGACTGTTCTTTCTAGGAAATGTTCAATTAGGCGTTTTTATATGGGAAGTGTATACTCATCTTCTGTTTATTATTGAGCTCGTATGGAGACTGTACACATATTTTAGTCGGTGAAGAATGAAATATCTTCTTTATAATTGGATTGGGATATATATCTTTTGAATTCTTTTTGTATTAATCGGCATTGGTGTTGGTTAAGGGAAAATACCTTTTTCAAGGAGAAGCAGGCTGATATTAGGATAAATGTCCAGTGAGTCAGCAATTTGGATACATGTGCCTATACAAGTGCAATAAAGAGCTGCAAATTTGTACTCGTATATATTATACTCCGTAATACAGTTTTCATTTTCCAATGCAATCTCCAATTATTATAAGATGCCCTAAATTGTAAACAGTTTTCATTTTCCAAAGCTCATAAGAACAGTTCAAGTTTGAGATAGTAGCAGTTATGCTTGTTGTGCCATACGATGACACTACATTACCTTTTGTATCTATGCACACTATTAGCATTATTGACATTTTATATCAGTCTAATTGATCTTTCTGCGGACATCCTTGCAGGTGATAAGAGCATATGCATTTAACAAAGCTTGGGCCTTAGGTTTTCTAATGGATTTGTTTGGAGCTGTCTTAATGTTGCGAGCATTGTCCCTTGCCCCTGTAAGTGCATCGCTGGACTTCTTTTTATTTTCACGGATCATTTTGTAAAAGTTCTCCTACCAATCTCATATCTGGATATTTATAATGGTTGACAACATTATCTTACACGCTAATTGGATGCTGATTCATATTTTCATATATGGTTCTTTTATTTTTTGTTTTAGGTTTCCGTCATTCAGCCTGTTTCTGGCTGTGGACTTGCCATTCTTTCAGTCTTTTCCCATTTTTATCTCAAGGAGATTATGAATCATATTGACTGGCTGGGGATTGCGTTGGCTGGAATTGGAACCATAGGTAAATATGTTCTTTCATTTCCTGTTTTATTCTATAATGCAACATGATGTATTGATGGAAACATAAAATATACAAAAGGCATGAAGTTGAATAGTTGATAAATACAACATACTAACTCCGTCTCGTTGGAAGGTTCCCATAGCAATACAGCACGATTATTTAGGAAATAATTAAATAAATTATTTCGAGTATATTTTGAGAAATAATTTTAGTAGGTATATATTATAATGTAGTTAGTATTGATAACTGTGATGTTATAAATGTATTATTTTTAATATATAATGATTAATTTGTCATTTAAGGTTGTTAATTGTTTCCTAAAATGAAAATGGGAAGCTTTATATGGGACGTCCAAAAAAGGAAAGTGGGAACCTTCTAATGGGATGGAGGGAGTTGTATCTACTTTAGGGCTGTGGCATGCAATCCCTCACCCATGGTATCCAGGAAGACGTTGGAAGAGAAAACGAGTAAGAATAGTAATAAGAACTAAGAAGCTCTGCTGTGTGGGGGAATCAACTTAGGCCTCTAGTCCTTGGCAGAGAGGTGGCGCCCGACCTCTTCTCAGATACAAAAATTAATCCTCTAAAACTCTAAAATTAACTTGTTAATCCAACTTCAACCTGCCATATAATACTAGTCACACACTTAAAAGAAAACATAGAGTTGAAAGGCTAATACTCCTAAGTAATTAAAGACTTGATAATCTAGAACAAAATACAAATAGAAATAGAAACTGATAAAAATAGTAATTATTAAACTTGAGATGCATGTGAGGCCACTATGGCCACGTCACATGACTGCAATGTCTCTTCCTTCCTTGTGGCGTTGTAAGTGTGTCCCAGAAAAGGTGTTCATAACACATTTCTGTATATTTACATACAGGTGTTGGTGCTGGAGGGGAGGATCAAAAGGCTTCATCGATTTCCATTTTTCATTTACCATGGCTGGCATTTTCTGTTGCAACTTTGTTTGTAGGTATCCTATTCTATATGTACTATGAAGTATGAGTGTTGCTGAATGATAACATTCTGAAATATAATCTGTAAACTTAATAGAAGAGCTATGCATTCTTGAGCTTTTAAAGTACCATAAGTTCATGACTTAATTAATCCCCCTTCCCTAAAGGCCTCAACCCAAAATAAATAAAAAATTAAACAAAACACAAAAATGCTATGTCTGATGGAGGTAGGTGTACCTGTAGGACTGCAGTGGCAAAGTGCTTCTTTATGACATTTTAGGTCACAGTCAATCCTCAAAAGAACCTCTTTGACAACATAGGTAAATTGGTGCACTCATCTGTGGGAACTCATGGGACTTTTTATTTAATACTAACTGAGGAACTGAGGTGATTTAGAAGTTAATGATCCATCCAAATATTTTATTATCCTCCATCCTTTGATATTTTGCCACCTTTGACCGGCACATATATATGTGAATTGTTTCTGCTTATGGTCACTTGAGGTTTATGTAGTGATGTGAAGTAGTGGTCTCTAATGCCTTTGCTGAATATAGGTAATCCTTAATGGTTGTCTTCGCATATATAAGCGCCAGAGAAGAGAACAAGAATTGGTAATGCTTTCCTTTTCGAGTAATAGTGTAATACTACTACTGCCTTTAAAATTTTGCGGTTTATTTGATGACATTTTACTATCATGCAGATGCAATATGAAGTAGTTGAAGAAATAACTTATGGTCTGGGATCTGGCATACTGTTCGGGTAATTTTATTTACATGCTAAATTGCTATATTTTAACATTTGATGTATCTCTATATATCTACTTCTCAGGATATTTGTCATGCTAGTGGAAACAACTAAGGCTTGGATGTTGTTGTTTGTTGTAGTGGAAACAACCTATGATAGTATGGTGTTGATAATTTTGGAATTTCATCTTATTATTCCTTCTTTAGAACGTTGTGACAGGGGGGAGGGGATCCAGCGTAAACTAGCCACTTTGTTTTATTTTCCATGAATTTATAGCGTGAAGCTGCGAATTAATTCTAGAAAATTTCTTGACACTTTACGCTTCATGCCACTGACCCTGACGTGATTTGGAAATTGGAAGAAGTTGATGATGATAATATGACTCATCTGAGCAGATTATTGCTGGTTGTTTGGGATAATCGTTTGTACAAACTAAATGTCCAGATGCATATGGCTCCAAGGTGGGTTTAGGAACATCTCTTCAGAAGGTCTATGTTTTCCTTTTTACTACTCCACCCCATAATAAACTCCAGACTGGGTTTAGAACCGGTTAATAAGAAAAGCGAATGCAATAGACAGAGAACATTTAAAATATAATATTGAATTGGTAGTAGTTGGGATAAGAAATAAAAAGGAGATGAAGCAGCTGATGTGAGGGAGAAATTACACTAATGTTTTTGACTTATTTGTTTTATATATTATAAACAGCACTCAATACTTCAGTAGTCGAGAATTCAATTGCATATCTGGAGATGCTGAGACTGACACACCCTCTCTTCAATGGGATGTTATTTGATTTCATATAAAACCATTCCTTCCCTTTTTAGTTACAATAGCATCACAAGAAGATGTTAAAGAAAGGCCCACACACTCACTCTCTCTTCTTTCTCCTTCGTTGATAATTAAGCTTGTTAGTTAATTTCTTCTTTTCGAAATAAGGTTTATCCATCTTAATTTATGAAAAGAGGGCAGCCTAGCTGCGCTTATAATTTTACAAGCAGGGAAGAAACTAGCAGTACGCGTGTGGTTCATGACCATCATGTATTTTTTTCGTTGGATAAATAAAATTTAGCCACTCATCTATTTGTAAATATTTTGTTTCCTGTGTACCTATCAAATGCAGGATGGCATCTGTTATATCAAAGCTTGGGTTTTTATTCTTGGAGCAAGGTTTCTCAAAGCTGCTGTTACCTATCTGCATCTCCATCAGCACATGCTGCAGTGCTTCTGGATTCATTTACCAGGTATCTTGAACATTCAACATTTTTTAAAAATTATTTTTATAGAACTATAAAACTAATATAAACAGCACAAATAAATCTGATTTGGTTTCCTTGCATAGAATTCCACTGCTTGCCAGTTGTGCAGTTTCTTGTCTGTAGTTCTTGAACCGTTTTTTTCTAACCAGACACGTGGCTTGAAGCATGGGAGAGCAATCGTGGTTTCTACATGTGCCGCTGTTGCATCAATCGTTACTGGAGTAATTGCCGGCATGCTTGCATTGGGCGAACAGTTGCCTTCAGCACCCAAAGCTCGTCTAGTTCTTCTCCTTGGATGGTATTTTAATACTTAATTTTATGTCGTATGGCAACTTAAGATGTGATTATAAAATGAAATCCATCCGTCTTTTAGCTTGTGCACATGAAGTTTGCATAGTAGGAATACCAAACAGTGAGAGTTCGTTTGGGGGAATCTATTGAAATTGGTTAAGTTATAGCTGAGTATGCCTAATTTCAAAAAGTAAGTTCAATTATTTTTTATTAATAAGGAAAAGGTTTATGAAAAAAACTAAAATAGTCCTGTTTAGCAAATTCAGCAAAAAAGTACTTCGAGGCCCCAACCTTTCTTTTCATTGTTAACCAATTCAGCACGTGAAATAGAAAAAGAATTTGGCGAAAAAAATCCGGCTTATAAGGCGGATAAGCCAAAACATAAGGTTAATAAACTGGCACTGAGCTTTAGATCCTTGTGTACAGGCTATTTATTATAATTGGTGTGATGTTGCTGGTCACTTCAAAGCGCATTCTGCGTTGTCTTCCCCGACCTTTGGGACGCATTCTCCGAGGTGGCGCTGAGAGAAATCAAGGCTTGAGACAGTCAAGCTCAATCCGCATTAGAGATCCGAGCCCCACTGTGATCCAAGCAACTACACTGCACCACTTGATACCGTCTCCACCCAAAGAGAAGGCTTGAAACTGGTAGCTATATTGCCATTTGGTCCGGTCGGTGTACAGCAGTATGGATGGACCACCTCATCACCCGCTTATATACAACAGACAGACTCTCATAAGCAGAAGTTTCACACCAGAGGGCTTCAACCCTATTTGTGTTGGAATCCTTTTCTTGAGGCGTATTTACTGTAAACGACTTTGAGAGATGGTTGTGTTGTAGACTGAGTGAGCTGCAGAGGAAAATTGGTTTATTATCATCGTTATTGTTGTCATTATTATTGATGTTGCTCTTTTATTACTATTATTACTATCATACTAATAATAACAAAAATAATGATAATGCAACTATTTTCAAAACGAAGTGGAAAAAATGAACAGTATTCCCGCTTAAAGAGACAGGTAAAAAACGGGTCGGATCCCTTTCAATGTGGTGAACCAATACATGGGTTAAGGTCTTGATTATACAGAGAAGATTGACATTTTTGTGTGAAGTGAACCGTTCAAAATATGAGCTAATGTACATGCTGGGTGGAGCAAGTAACAGATGCGAGGCCTAGCCAAAATGAAAATCCCAACTTTTACAAAAAATATATGCCGAGTTTAATTTTATGCTTTTTAAAAATATTTTTGTTCTCTAATTTTTAAAAAATATATACTACCTTCGTCCTGAATTGATTTGCAAAATTGACTTTTCTTGATCAAATAATTTCATTCTAGTCACTTAATCGTGATATACATTTTTAATTATATTCTAATTTGGAGTTTTCAACTTTGAAGAGATTTCAATTTGTTTCTGAATATATAAATTTTATTTTTAAAAATTGAAATAATTATCAATAAGGAGGATTGGACTTTAACATTGATTTACAAAAAAATGTTGACTTTACAAATCAATTTGGGATGAAAGGAGTATCAAATTTCATAAATTTTTATGATCTTTGATATGACATCAATATTACATATATAAAGTTAAAATTGGGGGTCACATACACTTCACTTTACTAAAATTAAAATTAATTGTCCGTGCATAGACAATTACTTGAGCGTGTAAACTGACGTGTAATCCAACATGTACAAGTAGTATGGTTGTACTAATTTACTATCAAACTTTACTTTCTAATTTCTATGATGAAGTAAAGAATCTATGTACTGGGTGGACTGGGTCCGGGTTGGGCTGGGACAGGCTCTGGGTCCAATATATTCAGTCCCGGGTTAGAACCGGGATTGAGCTGGACTAGGTCCGGGTCGGGCTGGGACGGACCCCAACCGTCCGGTCGAGGTTGGGGGCCCTAGGGATGGAAGCGCCATCTTTTTTTTTTAAACCGATCAACTTTAAGTAAAAGTACAACTACATTTTCAGCTTTTTTTCGAAACAAAAAGCTGATAACCAACAAACGCTCACTTTTTCCACTTAATAAAAATATACCCTCCTTCACATTTCATACACTTGATGTTTTGGTTGAATGGCATACAATTCCTAACATATCATATGAATTTAATAGGATCCACGTGACTCTATTAAGTTATTTTCATATTTGCTAGCGGGAACATAATATATGCAACTAGACAAAAGCTGATGGAAAATTTCAATAAACCATCACCATCCATTTGTAGCAGATCTTTATGATTCTTCCAACATTTAAAACATTCCTTAGATGTGGAAGCTTATTGGGGGAAAAAATAATGTTCCTTGAGATTTATTCTATAAAAGTACTCCACCACCAATTACTCTATTTATCCAAAGCCACCTATCTGAGATTTGCCAGCATCACAGAATCAAGTATGTTTGATCCACTTGGAAAAATTCTGCATAAGAGCCCAAAAAATCACATATAAAGTGCAGTAAGGACAGGTGTGAGGCAAGATGACACTGCAATTACAGAGCCCTTTTGAAAAAGGTTCTAAATGTATAAAATGTTAATTTAAATTGTGTTTGGAGTGGGTAGTGTATTCCTGAAACATAAAAATTATTGGTCCATTTAGTAAATTCATGGAGCTTCGATGTTTAGCTTTATATATTCTACATTTTAAAATATTATTATTTGGAGAAATTGGAAATATGTAAAAAGAGTAGCTGAAATATATTGCTTTTAAATGTAAAGTTCATAAAGAAGGCTGAAATCAGTAAGAAGAAAATCTTTTTTTTTTATTTAAACAGAAATCACAGGAGCCAAAACATGGTAAAGTCGCTGATTTCTTGCTTCATTGATTTTTGTGGAATTGTTATTTACTTTCAAGGTTTAGACGATTAAAAACAAGTTCATATGGAATTGCATTTTTGCTTTAAAGATTATAATAGATAATAGACCTACTTCCATGAAAGAACACCATCTTATAGAAAAAATCAGAGATAGTACGAGGGTTCAAAGATTGACCACAACATTAACAAAGCTGCTGGTGCAATAAACAGTTTACATACTCCCTCCGTTTCTAAAAGAAACTCACACTTTCCTTTTTGAGATGTTTCAAAAACAAAGTGACACTTCCCTTATTTCCTTATTTGGCAAAGAAATCTACATCCAAACAGTGCCAAACAGTGCGAAACAGTGTCTAAACAGTGTTTTCTACCGTAAAGTCAATTTTTTTCCTTAATAATCGTGAAGTCAAACCGTGACTTTCTTTTGGAAATGGAGGGAGTATAAGATAAGAAGACAGCAATAATGCCCCGTTATCTTATACGGAACAGGATTTTCCTGCAAAAATGTGTTTAATTTTTAAAATTCGTTTGAAAAACTAGTCATATTTTTGCTATTTTTTCTTATTAAATACTCCGTATATTTATTTATATGTGTTCCAGCCACTGACAATGACACTGATGATTTTGAGTCAAACCAGGATTCTAGTTGTAGACCATAGCTGGTGCATGAACTTCATTTGAGAATTTGTTCTTGTGGATAGTTAGCTAAATGCTCCATCTGCCAGCTTTCATGAGGAGCGACATCCTCATGTGCAGGAGTGTACTTCTGCAGAACAAATGGATCTTAAAACATGACACTTTTTATATGAACAGAACTGATCAGATAGTGCTCTATATTCTTTATGTTTTTAACCAAAACTGCAAATCAGTGAAAAACTGAAAATCATAAAGATCATACATTTATGTGAAATGTAAACTACAGAAGATTGAATACTTTTTACTGTTTCTTTCCACTTCAATCTTTTAACTTTTGCGAGAATGACATTTCTTATACTTGTCTTTGAATATTTCTGGTTTTAGTCTTCAATCTGTTGTGACAGAGACACTTTTGGTAAACGTTTTTTATTTTTCAGACTACTTTTGGCAATAATACTTGTCTTTCATCTTTGCTTTTTGCACTTCTAAACTCTCAAAACTTTTAACACTCAGTCTCTGAACTTGTCTAATTTTAGTCTGACTATTCTAGCAATAATACTTTTAAAACTCGTCTTTGACTTTTGCCACACTAATACAAGGACTAAAAGTGAAAAACTATGCTTCTTAATATATATGAGGTTTTATCCATTTATTATTACTTGTTTTTGTATGTGGAAACATACAACTAATAGTAATTGCTCCTTTAAATTGGGTTTCTCATTAGTTGTGCCGGTATGTACCTCCATCTCTAGCAAAAGATGCCGGGCAGTGGGTGCAGAAACCACAATGTGGCGAGCACTTGGCTTGATGAAACCTTCAGCAACTCCATTATCGAATAACGCCAGCAAAGAATCATAGTACCCATCAACATTGAGCAAACCAACCTGCAAACCACATCTCTATAGTCACTCCTTAATCCTAATAATATAAACTATTAATACCAAATTCATTACATTCACTATTAATTTTTATTAAGCTATCTCACATTGGCTGCGCATAAACATAATAACTAACATATAAGACATTAGACTATTCCTTCTATCAGACCAACCTTTTAGGAGGGAATCCAAGACTTAATATGGTATTGAGCCGATTAAGCTCCAACAAGCAATTAGATTTTGGTCAGCTTCAATAACGAGCACACAGACTACAGATTGACTACGTATAAACATACAAACTAACATCTAAGGCAATTGATTCCTCCTCCAATCAGATTGACCTTTTAGGATGGAAACCCATGACTTAATAATTTGAACTCAGAAGCTCTTTTAGAAATATGACAAACATATGACTAAAATAAAAATATAGCACAAAAATATAACTTTGGATGTGTAGTGACTATTCTGGTATTTCCACACTGACCGTAACACCTACAGTGATGATTAACATTGTAGTAACTATTGCAAGATTTTCATTTTCAGCGTCTATAGCCTATAGGGACTTGTAGTACTATTTCTGTCCATGAATTCTATTTGAGTAATATAACAGAAATCCTCCACTTTTTACCGGTTTTTTGTGAATTCCAAGTTGAGCCCATGTTATCATTTCGAGTAACTCTTCCATGGTACCATATCCTCCTGAAAAAATCATGGCAAAGATACCTAAATAACTAATTCAGAAATGATGGATTTATATTAATCTAAGAAAAAATGAGGGTTCACTTTGTTCCCATTTAGTCAGTCAGTAGCATATATAGTTACCAGGAAGTGCTATAAAAGCATCCGCCTGTCGAGCCATCTCAGCCTTGCGCTCATGCATGTTGGGAACAATTTTGACATCTCCTACGCTTTTGCCAGATATCTGTTAATTCTACTCACGTTAAGTCTTACTTCAACTCAAACATTTCATACCAAGCCACTAAAGAAGAGTATATATAAGAAGAATATATACCAGTACACCACAAAATTGTACTCCCCCCCATTCCATTGGACTTTGCCAATTTTTCCATTTTGGTTGCCCCAAAAAACTTTACCACTTTCCCATTAAAGTAACTATTTTGTGTTTCTGCTCATTTCTCTCTCCTCTCCACAAACTTCAACCACACAATTTTTACAATTCTTATTTGTCACCTAATTCCAAGAGTGCAAAGTCCATTGGGACGGAGGTAGTATAAGTTTGCTTATCATAAAAAACACTACAAAATTTTCAGAAGTTTGGATCATAAAATGGCTCCACTTTTAATGAAAAATTGAACACAAGTGCGATATAAAGTGAAATTAGAATGCATGTTATCACTGGACTGTTGTGGACTGAAACTTAAAAACACAAACAGATGATTCAAACAGATGTAACTAATGTTTTATACCATACATCAACAGCTTATGCTATCTCATACCAGTTAAATAAATACACAAACTAACACATTTAGCCTTTCTCAAATCCTTCTGTGAGACTACCTTTAGGATCGAACGGTGCTTGAGCCAAAAAAGCTCAAATGTAGAACCAATCGACAAAGACTCAAAAAGAGTACAGAAGTTTCAAAATTAATCCGCACTAATGACTCATCAATTTGTGGAGGGCATGTTAGGCCATTACACAGAAATGAACTAGAAACATACAGTCTCTTATATAAGACCTTGGAGTACTGTTACTATCAAATAAAGTTAATCGGATAGAAATCCAAATCTTAACAAGCAATTTGCCATTCTCTTCCCCACAATGCTATTGATAGGAAATTATGATACTTCAAGATATACACAAAAATACAAGAAACTAAATGAAGGCCAATCTGAGCTGAGCTAGAAAAAGAGAGGCAAAAAAGCAATAAAATTACCTCTATTGGTACAAGTGCTTTGGGAATCACCCTGCAAGTCAACACAAATGTGAATGAGTAGATTATTTTGTTATTCAGTGAGACTTAGAGAGCATGGCCATTTATACTGAAAGCCTGTAATGTCATATAAACTTTACACATTGCTTTATACCCAAGAACATGGCAGCCCCCATCATACACTCTCTGTGAGATCAACCCCATCAAACCAATACTTCCACCTCCATAGACCAAGTCTATCTTCCTAAGCACCTGCAGCCAAGAGTAACTAACTATTAATCTCTATAAGGATAAACAATTGATCTCTCTTTAATATTTCATTGTGAGACTCTTATAATCTCAAAGTCAAATAGATGGTGACTTTCAATTGTTGGTGTTAAGTCATCCCACATCTACTGAATATAGGATTATAAATTCACATTTAGGTTGTTGGGCTAATCCTTCAAGGTTAAGATAAAAACACATCTTAATATAGATCATGTTAAGCTCAACAAAGCAAATTGGTCTTAGTAAGGCTAAAATGGGTGCACAAGAATTTCAAAATTGATCTACCTCATCTTACCGGGGCAGCTATCCCTACTGAAACGGATGTCATAGTATTGAGCCATAATTGAAACTAACAAAACAAGAAAATATGAACAGGTCATTTTTGCTGGACAGTTTTTTTCCAAAGAATTTCTCTACTGCTATATAGACTCAGTTCAAATTCAGAGTCCCACAAATTATCAACCAAAAAGAAATAAGCAGAGTAAACAAAAGAACAAACCAGTTCATTCCCCAACTCAACAGCAGCATCACTAAACACTTTTCTGATGCCTGGGTTGCTTCCACAAAAGACACAAATTTTCTTGAATCTGCTACTTGTAGTGCTCTCCATTAATGCAGTTATTACAAAAGCTCTACCAATTCAGTTCACCAACTAAAAGTAATTAAATAATCAAGAACCTCAACTTAATCTAGTATTCAACCACCTTAGATGAACATAAATCAGCACTTATAATGTGTGGAGTGTGATAAAATCTGTTGGATAAAGGAGACAAGAAAGAATAAAAGAAAACGGAAAGCGGACGGGAAGCAAGAAAATAAATAAGCACGGAAGACAGCAGGCCAGAGTATCTCAATAATAAATATTTTGAAGGATACGAAAATACTTCGTATGATGGTAGAAGGAACAGACAAAGCCGACTGGGCGGGCTACAGGCTTTCATTATCAATCAATAAATTATGTCCGCAAACCATGATTAAAATACGATATTTCCCCAAATATAAGTGGGTAGTATTTCAATAATCTTGAGTAGTCGAGTATTATCTTGAGTACTGGTAGAGCTCAGATGTGTTTAATTGGGCTAATCTTGCATCATTATTTTATTTGTGGTACATCTCAAATGTGTGTGTAATATTGTATACTTCAATTGTAATATTGTGTTTAATTGTAAAATTTTCACCTTCACATCAAATCAGATTTGAACGGATCAAATTGGAGTTTGGATATTTTAATACACCGATTTCAATTTCAGAACATATCAGACTTAAATAGAATATACCAAATCAGAATTGGCTTAAACAAACTAGTTCAAACCAGATCAGACTTCGATAGTTAAAAAATATGTAGAAGACATTAATATTAATTAGACGTCTACCAAATCAGACCAAAAAATTTCAATCCAATTAAAAACATGTTTAAACAGACCAGACTTCGATTGTTCTAAAATACACATAGATTAGATATCTAGCAGACCAGACCAGTTTAGACCAACATAGACTTAAACATACCATATTAGAGCAGACCAAACAAGAAAACTTGAATCTAATTAAAAACTAGAGTAACACTCGGGGCATGCCCCGGTAGTGTTAATTTGACATGGGTCGTCAGGTGAAATAAATATTGTAAACTATTCATAGGATATGATCAAAATTTTGGCGATTGCTTTTATGAACTAATCACCACCATGGAATACAGATGAAGAATTACCATATTTTGGAGTACTAATTTGTGATTATAATTTTGGTTTATGTGCTTATTGTTGTAAAAGTTATTAACTATAGGACTAACCACCACCATGGAATACTCCACTAATTATAGGGCTAATTATATGATAAGAATGATAAGAAGAAACATTGAATTGGTATAGTTTAAAATTTACATTATTTTGGATATTCACATGTATTATTGATATTGTACACATGAATTAAAGTTTTATTATTGATATTATTAAAGTATCGTCCACGTGAATTAAAGTTTCATTATTTAAAAAAAAAATTGAAATATTTCAAAATTGAGCATACATTATAATGTGAATTATTTATGACTACTGCCACTAACACCCGTCCACGTGAATTAAAGTTTCCTAAATATTTCAATGTGTGGAGCCTACATAATGTCAAATGTTAGTTATTTAAAGTTTTCTGCCTACTTTTTTTCCTTTTCAATTATAGCTGATTCATCTCCTTTTTGTTTGAAACTAATTAAATGTTTTCATAATAAAGATGATAGAATTTTTGTTGACCAATAACAAAGTGACATATATGTCAGTAGTTTGAAATCATGTTTTACTAAATAAAATAATAAATTTTAATATTTAATGAAAAATGGATTACTTATATGTGTCGCGATAATTGTGTAAATGTGCATTTCCCATAAAGCACATTTAAACTCAAAATTTACTATAGATATTATATTTCATTGATTTATAGATAAATTATTACAATATTATATATATATATATATATATATATATATATATATATATATATATATATATATATATGTAATTTAGTGTCATATGAAAGATCATAAAATTTTATGATTTTTTATATACGTTTTATTAATTTTGGAGTGATGCGATGAGTGAGTTGATTGAATTAAAATGAATAGCAGTGATGCACCGAGTGAATAGCAGTGATACACCGAGTGAATATCAGTGATGCACTGAGTGCACTTAGATTAATTAAATGATTTAGTAGTAGTGATAATGAAAACTTTATTAACCAATATAAGACTCACACATCATTGATTCATAATTCAGTTTTATTATATAAAATAATAATTTTTTTATTTTTATATATGCAATATTGGTTTAATATGAAAGATTACAAAACTTATGAATCTTGATACATTTCTTATAAAACATGGAGTACAAAAAAGAAGAAGAAATCTACTCCCCTTTCTCTAAATAAGTTGACGTGATTAAAGTGAATCAATGATGCACTGAGTAAATAGCAGCGAAGCACCAAGTGAATTTGAATTAATTAAATGTTAGTACGTAGTAGTGATAACAAAAATTTATTAACTAATAAGAAACAGACAAATTATTGATTTATAACTACATTTTATTCTATAAAATAATATAATTTTATTTTTACACATGCAATATTGATGACATATGAAGATCAATGAATTTTGATATTTTCTCTTTCACTTTCTCCAAATGAGTTGGCGTGATTAATATAAATAGCACTTATGTACCAAGTGAATAGCAGAGATGCACCGAATGATCTTGGATTAGTTAAATGTTTTTGTAGTAATGATTATAAATCTTTTATTAACCAATAAGAGGCTAACACCTCATTGATTTTTAACCCAAATGTATTGTATAGAATAATGTTTTTATTTTTATATATGCAATATTGATGTTATATGAAAGATAATAGAATGTTATAAATTTTGATATATTTTCCGTAAAAATTGGAGTACAAATAAATAAGTTTTAATACGTTTTAAAAAAAGTTTTTTTCTCCTTCATTTTCTCCAAATGAGCAGTGATAATGGAATTTTTATAAAGCAATAGAATTTTTAACTCGGATTTGCTATATAAAATATACCTTCATCCCATTCAAAAGTTCCCGTCCACTATTACCCGATCAACATAAAGTCTTCTTAATCTATTATTTCATATATCCAATTTTTATCAAATTTGGGCTTTCCTTTTGCGACTTTGTAAAATTTTTGATGTAGTCTCTGAATATGTAAATTTTATTTACCATAAAGAATCTAAATATGGAAAGGATCAATTAACTTTATGGTTAGTTAAATATCGTAAACCGTGTGGAATCTTTCTACGGGACGTAGAGAGAGAGATTTTTATTTATATATATATATATGATGTTGGTGTCATATAAAAGATAATAAAAAGTTATGAATTTTGATATAATTTTTGTAAAAATTGGATTATAAATATAAAAGTTATATCATTTAAAAAGATAGATTATTTCTCCTTTTTTCCTCCAAATTGGTTGTGATGTAGGGATTTTTTTAAAAATAGCCGTGTGATGTAGGGAGTTAATTAATTGTTTTAATTGTTGTGATAATAGAATTTGCTTTATCCAATAGGAAGCTGACACATCATTAGTTTTTAACTCAACTTTACTATATAAAACCATGTATATCCTCAGTAACCCCTATTTTTTAAAATAAAGTGAATGACACTAATGATTAATACATTCAATGTATTAAGTTGAGTTTAGCATCAAAGTTGAGTTTTTAAATGATAAACAAACAAACATGAAAAACTCAAATTGAATAACTTTTTCATATGGTTTAATATTTCTCAAAATTTTAATTTATCCTCTACCTTAACCTCTATCATCAAGTAATTTAGAGATGATTTTTTTACAGTAATAGATGATTTTTTTTTAAAAGTAATAGAAAATAAATTCAAAACAACAATTTTATTACGCAGTGTAATGATAAGAAATATCGTTGTGTATACTGTCTCTATTTTTATAACATTATTTTATAAACTAGTAAAGGTAATATAAAACTGAAATTTGATATAATATTACTACAAATAAATGAATATATGTATATAAATAAAATAGAAATAGCATAAAATATATGAAATAATAGTAAATATAATTGATCTAGTTTTCCGAAATTTATACTCCGTATTTTTTAAACTTTTAGCATAAAATCTTTTTACATACATATACTTATTGCTAATGACGCAGTCAGAAGTGTATTATAAACATAAACAAATTTTATATTAGTATATTACAGCAGTCATCATGCTTAAAGCATAAACAATTTTTATATATTATAAGTATTCTTACATATAATATACTTGGTACATTACAATCCTCTCCAGCACCTCTCAATCTCCACAGACCACAGCTACTTATAATCATTTTACCCAATCCTCATACACAATTGAAGTGCATATATACTTGTAGGATTTGTAGCCACTCAGCTGGATAAGAAAAGTGTTGCCAAGATATGTTTCATAACTTCATTGATGATGGAAATGAATTTGAAGAGATTAATTCTTCTGGGTAGTACTTAACTTTATGTCCCGTTCTTGATCCAATGAGTTATCATTCTCATCTCCGACACTCATAATACTTTGTGGAATTACAAACATTCTTGCACTATACATTTTACAATAGCTAGATAATTAGAAATCTCAATATCCCTTTCACCAGTCTTTAAACAAAGTAGCTAATTCTAGCTTCTTTTGACGATAAATCATTGTACTAATTTGATGTGCAGTTAACTTATACGTAGTATAATGTTACACCACGATGTTTAGTTGATTGTTACGACTTCAGCAAATTGGTTTAGACTCTAATTTGATGCTTTTGAATTCCATTCAGTAAAGTGCTTTATCATCAATTTGCCAAACAAATATACCCGTTTTCATACTAGAAATTAGTAATGAAAAATATTGTACTAGCTTTAGAATCACACATGAAAGTTAACACCCCAAAAATGAATTTACAATAGTGTTAACCACGGCTAGTTAGTAACTTCCACTGTATGTATGGGGAAAAGTTCCTCCTGCCACTATGAAACGCAAAAGTGACAACATTAGGTTCGGTCAAATATTACTGTAGTCTTCAAAAAGTTGATAGTGGCATCTTCCTAACCTGCAAAATGGAGCCATGGATCAAAACACTTAAACAAACATCTCAATTAAGAATGCTGCTTAAACTGCAGCCATTATTAAATATATAGAATGATACAAAGATCGAATGAATGTTTTATCTCCTCCTGGAGATCACAATGAATATAACACAGAAATAGACCAAACCTGCAATGTTGGCAGTACATGCAGTGATGCAAAACTAGGTAGAATGAATGTGAGAAACAAAAATGACCATACCAAAAACAGAAAAATAATGAAATGTGTAGAGGGGAGATTCAGAAATACTCAAGGATGTGACTTAAGATACTCCCCCATATGGTCAACAAGATCTTGAAAGTCACTGCTCCATTCTGGTGTCTCCTTTACAACCAAATCTTCAATCTCCACATTAGCTTCTGATTCATTGCCTACCAACACTTGTTCCACTTGATGACTAGAGAGTGTTTCACCTAACATCAGTTCCTCCCATATGCTGTCTGGGACATCATCATTTTCAGCACCACTTGTAGATGCAAAAGATGACAGAGGCCCCATGACACTGCTTGACCCATTGTCCATCAGTGCAGTAGAAAACAACCCATCCATCTCTGTCTCCATTGCCAGCTCAGCATCTAACCGATCACCTCCTTCCATTGCAGCCGAGCTAGCAACATCTTGCAAGTTCTCTGCACTTGGTTGTGGTGACATTGTCAACCTCCTCTTTTGACCGATCTCTATGCGCTGTTGATCTTTCCTCTCACCGTACTTTTCAAGATATTGCTGGACAAAAGAAGGGTTTGTGAATATTTTAGCTAAGAAATTCATTGTTTGATGCTGCTTCTTCTCGGCGTTCCCTATCCTCTCCTCCATTGAGGTGATTTGTACCCTAGATTTCTGCTGTTGCTGTCTTAGTTTAACGATTTCAGTCACCAACAGGTTCCTGTCCCTCTTTAATCTCTCTATCTCTTCTTCCATGCCAAAATGGCCTATCTCTATACATGGACCGGCTACATGGTGCTGCACACTATGGGCAACATTCCTCCTCCTCCTGATAGTTTTGAGTAGATGTCTCTGCCCACTAAGAAACCCTTCATTTGCGAATTCCCATCTATCTGGATCCACTTTGCGAAAACCCTGCTTGTGGGAAAATAGTTTATTTATTTAGGATATATAATATTATAGAAGATATACATATATAAGAGCTAGAAACGATTTGCAAATTTAAGAGTTGAAAACAGAAGAAATGACCTAACTTTTCTTCTTTCTCCCAATGATATAATTGCCAGTAGAAGTCATCAATCACCAATGGTTTATCTGTCTCCTCAGCTACTAAGTGCAACTCTTTGACTACACTTATGAACAATTATAGAATTGTGAACACAGGAAATACCAGTACAATGCATTCATATCTCATTTCATTCGGTTGCAAGATAGATAGGTAGCTTTTGAAGCAATTATTCTTCCTTTAAACAATTACATTCCCCATGACATAGTTGTTGGTTTTAAAAAACAAGTAATTTCATATGGTGAAGTTCAGATTGCAAATGAGGTAGCATTATAGGGAACTGGAAATAACTTGAACCTCTTTAATTAAAAGAATCCACACACCATTGTCAAATCCCCCCCCCCCCCCCTCCCAATTCATCAAACGTAGCTAAAAGAACAAGTAGAATCTGTTCAGACTACACTAATCACATATCAGAGCAAATCACACGAGTACAAACCGACAAGAATTTAGACAGGACACGTCCCCAATAGTGATCGGTTTCAACAAAGGATTTGAATGGACTACGGTACTTACATAAGTATTGAGCTGCCGAACGAAGCTGGAGAAATTGCTGTGCTTGAAATGCCTAGGAAGGATGGTGGTGGAGAACTGGTGAGAATCCCAAACGATGAAGCTATTCTTCGTTGAGCTCCAAGAAATCACCGTGTCAGTGGACGGGTCTTCCACCATTTCAAACGTCTTCGTCAAGAACGGAGGTGGACCCACTTCGTGCAATCTCTCCATCGGCGAGGGCGCCTCTTCTTCGAGCTTTACTATTACAGTCTCCATTTGATTTCCCTTTTGATGATTAGATCTGTTCCGATGAAAGTAGGTGTTGCTATATTTGGGGATTTTGAGGGGAAATGGCGGCGGTCCAGGGATATTTAGAGGGAGGGAGTGGAAAGTTCTGGAAGAAAAGAGGATAGGATATTTTCCTACTGAATTTGGGTGCAGCTATTTCCGGGCACCGCATATTGCCCGGATATTTTGGAGGATCTAGAATGTTCGTAGCCGAGGGTAAGATTGATATGGGGACCCGCCCATGGAACCGGAGCGTCATGCATCATTTGTTATTTTTTATTTCTCCTTTTCTTAAAATTGTTAATAATTCTTTTATTTTTGATCCGATTTTTATAAAATTTATATCAATTTTTTTTATGATCTTTCAAATGAGACCAATATTGCCTATGTAATTTTAATTTTTACATTCATACACTTTTTTGTAATATATTTTTATATGCATACACTTTTTCTATAATATATTTTTTTATCACTTTTATATGTTTTTAGAGGTTTTTAAGATATTGAGTTTGTTTATTTTGCTTCTAGCTTGGAGTTACATTTGATAATATACAAAGTTACATCATCTTATACTCAGTTACAAGTTATTATGTATGAGTTACATCTTGCTATACACGAGTTACATACTTTTATGCGCGAGTTACATGTAATTATGTGTGAGTTACATCTTGTTATACACGAGTTACATACTTTTATGTGCGAGTTACATGTAATTATGTGTGAGTTATATCTAATTATTTGTGATTTTTTACTTATCTTTATCTTGAACTAATTCAGTTATAACTGAATTAATTTTTTTCTTTGCCAATTTAATACAAAATTTTATTAATCCACATAAAATAAGTATATTGTATTTCATATGCATACACTATTTTTCAAATGATAAAAATGAAAGATGTAGTAGGGGTTTATTTCATGTTGTAACTCACATACATTAAGATGTAACTCGCGTATATTAAGATGTAACTCGCGTACAATAAGATGTAACTCGCGCAGAAGAAGATGTAACTTCATGATATATTATCAAATGTAACTTCAAAATAATTTATTAAAATTACATAAGCAATATTGGTCTCATTTGATAGATCATGAAAAATAAAAAAATTGATATAAAATTTATAAAAATCGGATATCAAATAAAAAAGTTATTACAATTTTTAACAATAAAAGAAATAAAAAATAGGAAGCTGCGTCGTTTTGGGATCGGGCGCACCATCCTCGTGGTGCGCCGATCTCAGGATATAAATTGCCATACTCAACTGTGTTTGGAAAAGGACAACAAAAAAATGAAAAATTTAACGATTCTTTATTTAAACAAAATTCTTTATTTGATAAACAAAACAATGACATGGAAATTACTACTCGGATTTGCATTTTCAAAACTATGATCCATTTTATCTTTTTCAAAAATATGATTGATTGTAAATAAGCATTCGTTCATTTTATCGCTCGCACTAAACGTTCATCTTCCACAGTCCGTTCTTCTTCCTCTCATCAACACCAGGGCTCAAGGAAACACCGGCGAATGGTGACGACGTCCCATGGAAACACCTTCAACGTCATCTTCGCCTCTGCCGCTCCCCTCCTCCGCTGCTCCGTTCCTTCGTCGTCTTGTCTGGTCTGTCCCTTCGTCGTTAGCAATCGGAGACCTAGAATTAGATCTGAATGTCCTAGATCTAAATCTTGGGTTAGGGGTCGACGACGGAGCCAAATTAGCTATGAATACCAAATGTCTGCACACAAACATTTATTTCGGTGCAATCAAACATTGGCGTTGTTCCAATAAAAGCACAAAGCAATGTGTGTTATACACTTACACACAAACCAATGCCTGTATACATTATTTGTCTATAATAGAAAATGTCTTTACGCATGCATTTTATGTACACAAACATTTCTTGTTAGTAAAATTTGATTTCCAAATAGACTTTTTTTGTCTATGACATAATTTTACAGACATTTACTAATTTCTAAGTTTAATTTTTCCACATAAAAAAGTTCATCAAAATCTAAGACAACACTATCACCATTTGGGGCGGTTTCCGGTGGAATTTTTTATGAATTTTTTTGAGCATCTTCTTCATTAAGTCTAGTTACTCATACCAAATTTTAACTAAAAAATCAATTGGGAAAACAGTCAAATGTATTTTGAAGATAATTGCGCAGTTAGACAACACAGTATATTTTAGAAAATCATTTGACTGCCTTCTAGATTGAATTTTTATCTGAAATTTGGTATGGGTAAACTAGACTTTATGAAGAAGATGCTCAAAAAATTGCACCGAAAATCACCACCAAATGGCGACAGACGGACAAAGTATCCTGTAAAAGGACTTATTTGCACTTTTTATGGAAGTTCGAGAGCTTATTTGATAGTTCTTCCTTTAAGTTTTCGTCCATTCTTTTAAATTGCCACTTTTAGAAATTCTTTGACAGTTCTCCTTCACTAAACTATCCTTAACTAACTTTTTGTATCCGGCGCTTTTCCATTACAATGTTAACTTTTGAAATCGTACTCCTCCATCCCATTTATGTTCTAAGGTCAACGCGTATTATTCTTAATCTTTTACTTTATATATCCAACATTTATCAAATTTAAATTTTTCTTGATCAGGTTTTGTAGTGATTTTAATGTAGTTTATGAATATGTAAATTTTATTTACTAAAAATAATTCCACTAATGACAAAGATCAGTGAACTTTATGGTCAGTCAAATGTCGTAAATCGTATTGGAACGTTTAAATGGGACGGAAAGTGTAAAAGGTTAACCATACCAAACAAACTCCAACAGAAACGATTTCTAAGATTAACCAATTGGTAATTCGATTATTAGATACGGAGTATTTGGTTGTCGTCAATGACAGAAGTTCGATTCTTGTTTGCAGTATTTCTTTGAATTCATTTATTTTATGATGTGCTGAATAACCAAAATACAGAGTAAAAACATCAAATAGCTTTGTGTAGGTTTAAAGTTCAAACCTTTGGCTGGAGGGAATAAAGGAGAAACGAGTGTTGAATATGAAGACAGTTGCACTTGACAAACGTAGTTAAATGCGAGTTCTAACAATCAATTCACAACATTTAAGGCTCGCTATTTTCGTTTTAACCTGCTGCTACAGCTTCTTTCGATGACGCCTTTAAGTAATCCTCAAACATAATTCTTCTACCATAATATATACTCAACATTGGTCCTTAAATTGGTAGCTGCAGCACCACTACTCAAAAACTAAGATCCGACAGGGGCTATTCCTTTACTTTTGGCAGCTGCAGTAGCGGCAGCAGCAGCAGCAGCTGCAGCCGCCGCTGCAGAAGCTGCTGGATTAGGAGTGGAAGGGGGGACGGGATTAGGTTTGGATGTCGTATTGTTCTGCACAGGAAACAACTGCTGCTGTGGTTGGTGGGCTTGTTGAGAGCCACTGACTTGCGAGAGTAGAGTCTTAATCTGTCCCCCCGTGAGCGTCTCATGCTCAAGCAATGCACCAGCAAGAGCATGAAGCTCTTTGTTGTGTGTAGTGAGAATAGTCTTGGCATTGTTATATGCATTCTCTAAGAAATCTCTCACTTCCTTCTCAATGAGGAGCCTAGTCTCGGTGCTCATGCTCTTCCCATTATCATCATAGTCGTGTGCGACGACTCCTACTTGTTTGCTCATCCCATACTTTGTCACCATATCTCTAGCCAGAAGAGTTGCCTTCTGTAGATCACTAGAAGCACCAGAAGTCACTTCATTCTCTCCGAAAATCAGCTCTTCCGCAACTCGCCCCCCCATGCAAACATCCAGCCTGGCAAGCATCTGCTTACGGGACACACTGGTTTCATCTTTATCTGGCAGTTGGGAAACCATGCCGAGAGCCATACCTCGGGGGACTATGGTGGCTTTGTGGACAGGTAGAGCACCGTCGGTGTGAATGGCCACCAGAGCATGTCCACCCTCGTGGTATGCTGTGAGTTTTCTAGACTCATCCGATATAACGGCAGACTTGCGCTCACTTCCCATCATGATCTTGTCTTTTGCGTGCTCCATATCACCCATTGTTACTGCTTTGGAGCCGTCCATTGCAGCCTTGAGAGCGGCAATGTTTACCAAGTTTGCAAGATCAGCACCAGAAAATCCAGGAGTTCCTCTTGCTATGATCATAAGGTCAACATCATCTGCCTTCAATACCTGTCAATGAACAACACTTGATGGATGTAAGCAATTAAAAAAATGTTTAGCTGTATAGGTAACCAAGCATTCCAGCCCAGCTAGACACATAAGGGTTTGAAACTCAACGGAGTGAGTTTCAGCACCGATTACTCTAGGGGCCCCCCAGACCCCCTCCCCCAGACCCCCCTGGAGTAAAAAAAAAATGTTTAGCTGTATAGGTTGTGGGTGCATTACATCAATAATGAAAAGAACTTAAACTGGATAAAATACAATATTTTCTGGTATACAGAAAATAATACGGTACATTGTTTAGCCAAGGAAGCCAGGAGAAATTTATTTTCTGACGGATTACCTTAAATAGACATCAATAATTTAGAAAAACAGAATTTGCACCCTCTCCAAAAAACTATGCAAACCAAACAATGCTTAGATGCTACTTCTTGTGGTTTTAGTTTGTGTTGCCAGTTTTAGCGGACAAGATAATTTTCTGTAGAAAGCGAGCCAGATATTTGTGCTCTTATTGGTCCAAAATTTGGGTCCATACATGGCAACACCGCCCGGCAACTGCCATATTTGTACATTAAAGTGGGGTAATCACGACTAAAATAAAAAAGACAAAAAATGGTCCTAATATGGATCACTGTTTAACAGGAAATCATAAACCATACATGATCCTACCTTTTTAGCCTTATCATGTAAAGAAATAAAATAAAAGGGAATACCTTCGACATGTGGGATTCCAAGATCTGTCTTCGCCCCTCAACGTCAGGGTTTGGGACAACAATGTGACGATCAAACCGTCCAGGTCTTACAAGTGCCTTATCCAATGACTCAGGAAAATTAGTGGCAGCTATCACAATGATTCCCTCGTTTTGTTTGAATCCATCCAATTCAACTAGTAATTGATTCAAAGTCATCTTCATATATTGTTGATCCTTTGGATTACGGCTTCCCCCAATGGCATCAATCTCATCAATAAATATAATGCATGGAGACCTTTTCTTAGCGGCAGCAAAAAGTTCTCTCACTCTCCTCGCTCCAACACCAACAAACATTTCTTCAAACTCACTGCCACTGCATGAGAAAAAGGGAACTCCAGCCTCTCCAGCAATAGCCCTGGCTAACATAGTCTTGCCAGTACCAGGTGGACCAACAAGCAAAACACCCTTCGGAAGCTTTCCACCAAGACGGGTGAACCTCTGCAACAATGAAATTGCGATTGTTAAGCCTTGAATTTGCTTTTTTCATGAACAGATATTAAAAAGTGTCAACTAGACAATTACAACTCCATGATGCCATACATTGGAACCATAAAAACACATGAACGCATCCCTGGAAATCAGAATTAAAGAAGTGGGGAAAAGACACATAGGATCTCGCTTAGCTATATAATGAAACATCATTCCTTTAGATTTTAGAGTGTCAGGATTCTGGAATATGCTATGGAATAGAAAAAGTGTTTAATTTTCTTATGTTTCATTTTACCACGGAAAATTAAAAAAAATGAATATGATTATTTGTTTAAATTCAAATATAATTATTTTAATATTAATAAAGTATAAACAAATAAAGGGGAAATAACTTTAAATAATACAAACTATCTTCCATGAACCAAGAATAATACATACTTTGAAAATGATTTTTAATAATACCAACTATTTGCATATAAAACAAAAATAATATGGAGTCACTTTTTATCAAGAAATCCAATCATTTAAAACATTAAAATCTAATAGCAAACCATCAAATAAATGATATTTGGAAATACAATCACTTATTTGATATTTTGATACTACTTTTTGATGAATTAAATAACTGAATTTTCATTGAAAAATTGCTCTATATCACTTTTGGTCTATGTTTGGATAGTTGGTATTATTAAAAGTAATTTCCGAAGTATGTATTATTCTTGGTTCATGGAAGATAGTTTGTATTATTTAAAGTTATTTTCCCATAAATAAATATATAAAATGTGTCAACAAATATCGGAAACAAGTTCATTGAGTTCAGCTATATTTTTTATCACAATTTTCTTTTCTTCTACATTTTCTTTGTGTTTCCCTTCCTATTTTCTTTCCCCAGTATTTTTAAGGATCCAAATGGACCTTTAAAGCGTATACATACAATATTGTTTCCATTGCTTTCTTCTTTCTCAATATGACTTTTAAATGTGCAGTAGGGGTTGGAAGCAAAAACAATTGTAAGGATACAAGTTAAATACTTGAATATGAAGTATAATATCTTTACATATGTCAATATTCAAAAGCTAATAAACCTTAGGGTCTCGAAGATAGTGGACAATTTCTTCCAGCTCTGCTTTTGCTTCATCCACACCCTTTACATCACTAAATTTTGTATTGGATTCCATACTGGGATGCACTTCTTCATTCAGACCAAGTCCTGTTGCAGAAAGCAGCATCAAGAGTAAGTTAGATTTAATGTACAACCTGTATTCAGAGACTTTGGCCAGAAGTGTCATAAAAATAGTCAGCAGAATCTGCACAATGCTTATATATACCTTTACTGATTCCTCTGTCTTCAATCAGAGCCCCAAGACCAGATATCATGAGGAAAGTTAATCCAAGAGCCCGAAATGTACGCCATAACTGTTCCTTAAAATGACTGCCTTCAACAGCCACCATATGTATAGGAGCATTGGGAGTACCAAGAACACCATCTTTTATATTTTTTCCTACATTCTTAAAAGCAGACAAAGCACTCAAGCCACCCAAGCCTTCTTCCTCCACACGAGAACTAGAAGCAGTAGAAATCCCTGAAAATAAGAAACTCTAAGTGGCACATACATGCAATTATATTATAAACTCCTAGTTTATAATCATCCATATGCGAATTCATTCTGGTGCTAACCTCTCTGCAATGTCCTGAGCAGCTCACTTTCATCCAACATATCAGCCTTAACAAGTGCCTTAACATACTCAGCAAGTGCTTGTGGGTTAGAATGTAATGACGGCTGACTTTCAAACAATCGTATGACTGCCTCAGGATCATGTCTATTATATAGCTCCTTGAGATATGCAGCTTCACTCACTTCATCTGTTTCACGTGCTCTTCGGGCTAGACTTCCCACATAACTTGACTGAAATCTTCTGTGAACATTAGCAAATCCAGGCACCACTGCATAGAAAAGTATGGTTGTGCCGTAGGCAGAGAGAGGAGCACATGTCAAAAGATTGTCCAGTATCAAAGGAGAACCACAGCGAATAAACAATTATTATATGCATAGAAATATAGCATCAATGATATTATGATGATCACATTAAGAATTCATTTCAACCACTAATCCTGCAGTAAGTGAGACTTAAAAACTACGAGTTTTTCGTTCTGTGTGAAAAAGCTTATCTCTGAGTACAATTTAAGCACAGTGCTGTTAAACCACCCCAAACACCTTGGGAGAACCTTTGAACTCTTTCCTTTCCAGTGAGAAAAGAATGAATTGTGATAGAAACAATGAAAAGTAATCAACCAGGGCATCGTCACACACAGTTTCGATCAGGCTGATGACCATGACAGGCTAAAGAGATGAAGCTTACATGGATAACGATCTTCCTTTTCCAAGAACAAAAAAGAAAAATTTATGAACTATAAAGACCATCAATAAAACGTATGCTGCAGCCTACCAAACAAGTACTTTACCAAGAATTGTTTTAACAATACATGTTAGCTCAAAGCAGGGTGTTGATTAACAAGATGCAAGTCAATCCTAGTAGATTTCAACAAGGTTAGAGCCACAATACCTCCATGTCCTGAAAATTTTGTTGACGTCCTATAAGTTCTAGTGAGCAAATAGCCGAGTTGCCTCAGTTGAGATTCTTTCCTTTCAACCTGAAACAATAAAAAATATTACCGTAGAACATAATGTAGTCGACTAATATCCAAGGGAATCTGAAATACACACAAATTATGCATCTGGGTAAACTAAACTGATAAAAAAGTTTATAAATCCCCAAGTATATAAATGACCCTGATCTTAAATATGAGGCGGCTAGACATTTTCCAGTAGTGCAATTCACATTAAAACTATAAGCCCCATCCCGACCAAAGCTCCAATTTTCCCTACGAAATGTTCAATCTTTTATAAATCAAAAGCCAAGATACCACTAAAATTAGGGTTTCTGTGAACATGCACTATACGAAGTGACAACCAATCAAATTCATCATCATCTTAAATTAAATTATGCAACTTAAAATACCAAACTAATAATTTGAAGCTGACCTGAGTGAGAAGATGCCTTAAAGCCATCCTTTTTAGTCAAGAAAGACCGGTAATCTCCTTCACTCTCCCTCCTCGGCGACAGGGGTGAATATTAACCAGGTATATCGATAAAGATTTTGTAATCGTTGTGTACGATCGTTGGCGGAGTAGAGAACGAAATGGAGGCAGAGAGAGGAACAGAGATGACTCCTGGTTGCGAAGACGACGGGTTTGTTTTTTTAGAAATGAAAATAAAAAAATTACCCCGTAATAATTACTAGTATTTGGAAATTCGAACCAATATAATTTGGGTAGTATCAATCCTATCCAACTGTCCATAGTCCATACTTATGGCGCAGCCATCAGAAAACTGGAAATTCAAGTACAAAAAAAAAGAAAAAACCGAGAGAAATTTCGAATAGTACACCACTTATCCAGTTATTCTGACCTGAAAAAAAAAAGAACAAAAAAACCTTATCCGTTATGGATTTTTTGAAATTAGTTTTATTTTGACGATAAATGGAGAGATATGAACCCAAAATAAAAGATGCTTTCACCGTTAACAATTCTCCATTTTTCCATGTTTGCTCGAAAGGAAATATCTTTTGTATGCACCCTATTTATCTGTTCGAGTATACAATCTATTTATATACTACCTCCGTCCCGCAAAAGAAGTTCTCATTTTCCTTTTATGGATGTCTCAAAAAGAAGTTCTCATTTCTATAAAAGAAAACTACTTTTAACCAAAAAGTCATAACTACCTTTACTTTTTTCCCACTTTTTATTTGATTTGACATAAAGTAAGGGTATACTTGGAAAGTCAAAACAAAACTCTACCTAACATAAATATGTGTGTAGGTCAAACTAGGAACTTCTTTACGGGACGGAGGGAGTATATCTAATCGAAAGGAAATATCTTTCGTATGCACCCTATTTATCTGTTCGAGTATACAATCTATTTATATATATATATATATATATATATATATATATATATATATATATATATATATATATATATATATATATATATATATATAAAAGAAAAGAAATAGCTCATTAAAATACAATTATGCCCTTAATGAATTCTATGTGTCAATCTCTTCACAATTTGCTCATTTCCTATAAAAATGTCATGTGGCTTTCTAAACTAACTCACCAAAAAAAATTCATCCGTGCTTCTCACCTCTTTATTACTAGATTAAAATTCTTAAAACAAATGATAGCTCCCAATCAAATAAAATCCGTTAATTTTTTGAAGTACTGCATCTTTTTAATTTGCAATCTGATTGTCACAAAAATCATATCAAATTTCATATTTTTTTATTATCTTTCATATGACACCAATATTGTATATATAAATATATAAATAATAATTTAACTCTTTAATAAAACTCATGTTTTATAGTGGAATAACGTTTTCATTTGTCCAGCTTACCGTCATTTTTTTGTGCACACTATTAATCTAGAGTGATAGCTTAGAGTAAAATTGCAAAATTTCCAGTGCAAAGAATAAAATAATAAATAAAAGTGATTGAGTTTGTGCAATTTTATTATAATTTATCGCTTCAGATTAATAGTGTGCATGGTAAAAAAGAAAATAAACTCCATACATTAATAGAATTTATATTTTTTATCTATATACTTCCTCTGTCTCTTAAAACATTGTCAAGTTTGATCGGCATAGAGAATAATAAAATAAAAAACCGTGCAATTGAAAGTTCTGCGGAGAAGAGAGAAATAAAAGAAATTACAAATCAATTGATTAGAAGAGAAAATGGAAAAGTTTTTGGGACAATAAAAAAGAAAAGATGACAAAATTTTAAGGGATGGGGAAAGTATATGCAATATTAGTGCCATTTGAATGATAATAAATTATTTGTCCACTTATCTTATCTTATACCAAAACCTTTTCATTTGTACTTCAAGTAGTATTTATCAAAACTTTTTGGTATAAGATAAAATAAGCGGACAAATAATTCATTATCATTCATATGACACTAATATTACATATACTTCATCCGTCACTTAAAACTTTATCATATTTTCTCTTTCTATTGTCCCAAAACTTTTCCATTTTCTCTTCTAATCGATTAATTTGTAGTTCCTTTTATTTCTCTCTCCTTCTCACAACTTTCAATTACACAGTTTTTTACTTTATTATTCTCTATACCGATCAAATTTTACAATATTTTAAGAGACAGAGGAAATATATAAATAAAAAATATAAATTCTATTAATGTATGCAATTTATGATCTTTTTTTACCGTGCGCACTATTAATCTGAAGCGATAACTTATAATAAAACCGCACAAATTCTATCACTTTTATTTATGATTTTATTCTTTGCACTGGAAAATTTGCAATTTTACTCTAACCTATCACTCTAGATTAATGTGCACAAAAAATGATCGTAAACTGGACAAATGAAAAAGTTATAACACTATAAAACATGAGTTTAAAGAGTTAAATTATTATTTATATATTTATAAATACAATATTGGTGTCATATGAAAGATAATAAAAAAAATATGAAATTTGATATAATTTTAAGCGGGGACATTTTCTCTCATATATGCAGTGTTTTTTGGTATAAGAAAAGATGAACAGACTAATAATTGAATGAGCTAATTCCGTCTCTCATATATAATGCTTTTAGGTATAGCATAAGTGAATTAATAATTGAACATGAGAATTTTCTCTCTGATATGTAGTATTCTCATGAATAAAATAAGCAGACTAATAATTGGGTGGGAAAATTTTCCCTTTCATACGCAGTACTCTTAGATACTCCGTATAAAATAAGCCGACAAATAAATGAACGTGATAATTTTCTCTCTCACGTGTAGTGCGACTTTTTAGTATAAGATAAGATAATCGGACAAATAACTGAGCGGAAGAATTTTCTCTCTTACGTGTATGTAGTGCTTTTTGCTATAAGATAAGCGGGCTAATAATCCAGCGAAAAAATTTTCTCTATCTCATATGAAGTGCTTTTACGTATAATTAAGCGGATTAATAATTAATCGGGAAAATTTTCTCTCTCATATGTATTACTTTTAAGTATAAGGTAGGCAGACTAATAATTGAGCGGGAGAATTCGCTCTCTCATATTTAGCATTTTTAGATATATGATAAGCGAACTAATAATTGAACGAGAAAATTTTCTCTCTCATTTGTAGTGCTTTTTGGTTTAAGATAAGATAAGATAAGAAGACTAATAATTGACCTCAATATTTTCTGTCTCATATGTAGTGTTTTTATGTATAAGAAGATAAACAGATTAATAACAGTTGAGTGGAAAAATCTTCTCTCTCAAATGTAGTGTTTTTAGGTATAAAATAAGATAAGCGGATTAATAATTGAGGTGAAAATTTTCACTCTCATATGTAGTGCTTTTAAATATAAGGTTAGCAGACTAATAATTGAGTGGAGAAATTTTCTTTTTCGTGTGTGGTGTTTTAGGTATAAGATAAACAAATAAAAACTGATTAGAAGAATTTCCTCTCTCATATTTTCTATCTCAAGACCTTTTAAGCTTATGTGAAGACATTTTTCAATAAAGATCTAGCTCTATCACTGCAAAAAGAAGAAATTTTTCTACCTAGACATATTTTAGTCATGTAAAGCTTTATACGTATGGCGTTATCGAGGGAGAAAATATGGATTGATGATTTTATTAATACATTATAAGAAGAGAAAAGCACTAGATGTTAAAAGTTCTCTTTAAAACAGTTTTTCAAAACTCTAACAATTAAGTTCAATATTTTATTATTTGTTTCCAACAATGCTAATTATTACGTATCAAATTCTAATGGATAGTGTTGATTTTTTTACTTTAATTTTCTCTTACTTTGAATATTTGTGGTATGGATTTATACTTTTTGATATTAACTTATTGTACTCCATTTTTTAAATGATATAGAATTCTAAAAAAACATTTTTATATTTAATTAGATCATGAACATAAATATATAAGGATCAACTGTTTCCCGTGCGTATGCACGGGTGCTGTGCTAGTGTTTAAGAAATGCAAAGTTTTAATGTCATTTATTATGGACAAAGGGGTCATTACATGAAGTTGGATCCGGGAGAGTAAAGAGTACCTCAAAGTGTAAACGTGATTCAAAGGTACATAAACTGGGAAAATTAGGGCTAATTTAGTCCTAACATGCCCTAACGTCTATTAGACGTTCTAAAAAGCTGACATGGCTAAAATTAATCCTTTTGTAGGTACACGGTGGATTCCAAATCATCTTTCTCCTTAAGCCTTTAAAACCTACCCTAGTTTAGCAGATGAGCGACATTTTATCAGTAAAAGCTCTGATTCCTTCTCTTCTCTTCGTTCGCATTCTTCTCCTCAAGCGGCTTGTGGTGCGGTGAGTCTGGTATTTGTTGTTAATAAGCTTATGGAACCCTAGGTTTTGATTGATTTCGTTTCTGAATCAAGTTTGGGAACAACACATGGCTTATTCAAATTGCGGTTGTGGAAATCCTTTAAAGATGGTGACTTCATGGACAGATGACAATCGAGGGAGATGTTTCATTGCTTGCTCATGATCAAGGTATCACTTTCAATTGCTTGGCCATAATGTAGTATATGTGTTTTAAAGTAATCTTGTTGATCTGTATATTAATGTTTATGTTATTTTTATTAAAAATCAAAGGTTTTAGGCGGCTGCAACATGTTTCAGTGGATTGATCCTGAAATGTGTTTAAGGTCCAAGACTATTGTTCCAGGTTTGTTGAGGAAAATTAACAAACTGGAACTTCAGCTGGTTGAGGAGAAAGCTCACCCAAAGGGAGAGGAAAAAGGCTTTTCCAAAGAACAAAGTAAATGAAGTGTGATGTGGTACATTGTAGCTGGAATTGTGGTGGTATTGATATGGATTGTATCTTATGATACTGCAAGCAAGAAGAAGGTGGATTCAAACATGTGTGAGGCTGGCAAATAGTTTGGTGTTGTAGGAAGCAGAATATGTTTTAGATTGATGTTTAATTTAGGTTGCTGGAAGCTTTGTCCTGTGGGAGATGATGTTGTAGTTAATGTAATGTAATTTAGGTAGGTATTGTAAGAACCGAGTATGTTTACTATCATGTTTGTGTATGACAGTGTTTAGTGTGATGTATCAGGTCAAATTTTATCAATGAAATATGTTTGTTTCTTTTGGTGTATACTGGTGTTTAATATGTTGTTTCATAGGTGTATATAACCTGCAATTTTTGAACTGAAAAGATGAATTGAAAATATGAACTCAAATATTACAATTTGTGGTGGTATATAACCTACCATAT